CTGTACATCATGGGCATCTTGATGACGAAGGCGAAGAGATCATCGATGAAGGTGTTGAGAGCTTTGTAGGTCAGCATGCGCCAGGGCAGGTGGGCCACTGACTTCAGCTTGTAGTTGATGAAGAGCTGGGGGGTCATGGTGATGAAACCTGCAGTGTGGGGGCTCCTCGTTAGCGTAACGAAGCTCTGCTGCTATGGCGAGACCCTCCCCGGCGACCCAGGGGGGAGCCGGGGAGGGCGAGCTGCCCCGCTGCCCCCCTGCCACCAGCTCCTTTTTGGGGGAGCTTCAGGGGGGGGTTTTGGCGAGCGTGGCGCTCACCGAAGGTGAGGAGGAAGCCGTAGAGCATGCTCAGCACCCACGAGTACCAGCCCTTGTGCTCCAGGTAGAGCAGGCTGTAGACGGCGTAGCAGCCCAGCAAGGGGAAGAGAATCCACGAGAGGTAGCGGAAAGCCATCTGCGGAGGAACCAACAGCCGAAATCAATCACCCGGCGACGTGCCGGAGCACCACGCGGCGCCTCCCCGGCTCCTGAAGTACCACGTGGCGCCTCCCCGGCTCCAAAAGCTCAAGGTAAGGAAGGGCTGAGCCCCTCTGGCCGCCCGTGCCGCTCCGGGTGGGTCGCAGCAAGGGGACACGTGCCCGTCCCCACCCCGACTCACGTCGTCGTACACCTTAGTGGAAGACTCGACATAGGTGGATTTATCTTTGAAGATCACGCGGGGAAAGACGCCAGCCACTTTGTTCTCACGGTCCAGCTGCCGAAGGAGAGGGGAAATGGCGTCACCGAGCTGGAGCCGAGTCACTGCCGGCCCCCGCCGCGCCGCTGCCGCCGCTTACCCGGACGTCCATGACCTTTGTGATCTTCCAGAGATCGATGAGGAGCCCGATGAAGACGCTGACTTGCACCACGAAGTTGGTTTCGTTGTCCAAGATGTAGAGGAGGACAACGAGGGACTGGAAGACGCCGAAGAAGACGGAGCGGACAGAGAGCCCCTCCAGAGACTGCCGGCTGTTCCAGAACTGGATGTCTGCCGGGAAAGGCGCCCCGAGCTGTCACTGCGCCGGAGGGGAAGGGGGACCCCTCGCGCCGGACGGAACCCTCTGCGGGGATGGGACGCAGCAGGAGCCGGGAGAGGGTTTTCGGCCTCGCCGCCGCGTCCCGGCCAAAGCCCCACCGTGGCGCTCACCGTTCTTGAAAGCCAGGAACTCGAAGACGCTGTGCACGATGGAGACAACGATGGTCAGCGCCAGCAGGTAGGGGTTCGTCTCCAGGAGAGCGACCTGCAACGGGCACCGAA